TGGGACTGCTGGCTGGGGGAGCTGTGGTTATTTTTTTACTTACCCCCAAAACTTTGCAAAGCTCAGGAGTGGTTTAAGCCTTCTCTGTCCCAGCCATGGAGGCCCTGGGGAGGTGGAAGAGCTGAGCTTTCGATGCTTTAGACTTGGAATTTGGTGCCTATTTAGCTTTTTTACCTTGGGAATAACACTGAGTTCTCTTCCAGCTCCTATTTTGAATTCTAGTCCTGATCTCCAGGAGCATCTCCCTACTGGACAGGCCAAACCCACATTGCTGTTCCAGCAAACCATGGAGATGTTCCTGTTCCAGCTGATCCTGGGGTGTCTGCAGAGATGTGTCCCTTCTGTGCCATCCCTGTTGCTGGTTCTGCAAGACATCACAGAACCCCAGACTGTGTTGGGCTGGAAGGGACCTTAAAAACCATCTCATTCCACCCCCTGCCATGGGCAGGGACACCTCCCACCAGCCCAGGTTGCTCCAACCTGGCCTTGGACACTTCCAAGGATTCCAGGGGCAGCCACAGCTTCTCTGGGCAACCTGGGCCAGGGCCTCCCCACCCTCCCAGGGAAGAATTCCTTCCCAGTATCTAATCTAAATCTCTCCTCTTTCAGTTTAAAACCATTCCCCCTTGTCCTATCACTGTAAAAAATCTCTCTCCCTCTTTTTTATCATCTCATTTAAGTGCTGATAAACTCCCTTTCAGTCCTGACTGAGTCAAAAGCTGAGTTCAGCCTCTTTGCAGTTTAACCAGCTGCATTGTAACAAATAATTACATTGACTGAGAGTTGCTTTTTGTGAAAAATGAGAAAAGATGCAGCACTTGTGGGGTTTGGGAGTGCTGGAGCCGAGAAGCTGGGTGCTGGAGTGTGTTCCTTCTGGACTTCCCAACCTAGAAGAGTCGTGTTATGTTCTCCAGCAGTATCAGGGGATGTAGGGATGCCAAGTACACCCAGTTGCTGGCTCCCTGTGCTGCACAAGAGCTGCCAGGGTGCTTTAGGCCAGCCTCAGGTGCTTTAGGCCAGCCTCAATTACTCCCTCGTTATCAGGGTGGAGATCAAAGCACATCATTTAAAGAACAAATGCAGTAAATACCTTGAATTTATGTACTGACTTCTCTGGGCAGGGGGGTTGTCACAACAAGCTCGAGTTAATCTCTTGGATTTTGCATAAAGAGTGATGTCAGTGTTACCTGAGGTGTCTGGGTTTGCAGGATCCAGCCTGTTTTTATGAGGATACCTCTGCCTGCTGTGTAATTCCTGCTTTCCCACCTGCCTGGGGATCTCTGTGCACTCTGAATATCCTCAGGATTCAGGTACTGCAGGAGTTGAGTCAGTGCTCTTCTCATCTTGGAAGCGCTGGTGATTTATTTTCCTGCTCCAGGTTTATTTTTAGTGCCTCCTGAAAAGTTGCACACCTTGGAAAGGAAAAGCTGGGGGAGAGGCTGCTGATGAGCTGATTGCTCAGGTTCAGCTGGGCCTTCCTTTCAGAGGCATTTCTGTCACTCTGGAGCAGCTTTGCTCCAGGAAAACCTGTGGGATGTTTGGAGGGAAAGGTGTCAATGATGTGTCACTCAGGCTGAATGCTGTGTCCTGTTACTGGAGTCTGGGACTGGAGGAGAGACAGGGGACAGAGGAAGAGAAAATCCCTAAGAAGTTCCTCCCATCCCATCCAACAACAAGACTTTTATCTTCCCTGAAATCAGGATTGCCATCATAAGTTCAGATTAACTAAGAGCAGCAGTGAGATGGACACAACCAGGGTGGATTTAGAGATGCAGCAGCCTTGGATATTGTTGAAATTATTTGCTGCTGTAACGCCCTGAAATCTCAGCAGGTTGCCTGGTCTATAAATTAGAAGTTGTGTTATTTCAATGTGTTAATGAAATAGTGCAAGATAAAGCCTATTTTGACAAGAGGAATGACAACATAGAAATGGGGTTCGTGACCCATTGAAAAACATCTTTTTCTTTAAAACATTTAGTTGTGCTGCAACCCCGATGTTTTCATTATCTTAAAGCTCCTGGACTTGCCTATGGTGGGGATTGTTTTTAAGGTGTCTTCAAGAGTTTTCTTATCTCCTTCAGTGGAAGTTTCTGAGTATAAAAGTGAGTCTTTGCACATGAGCTTTACTCTGTGCTCCAACAGAAATCTCTTTATAGCTGAGGGGAATCTTCTTCCTGCCTGGGCAGAGGAGGGGCAGGGACTGAGCTCTGCTCTGGGGGAGCAGGGACAGCACCCAGGGAATGGCTGGAGCTGTGTCAGGGCAGGCTCAGGTTGGATCTCAGGCAAAGGTTCTTCCCCCAGAGGCTGGTTGGGCACTGCCCAGGCTCCCCAGGGCAGTGGGCACAGCCCCAAGGCTGCCAGAGCTCCAGGAGGCTTTGGCTGATCCTCTGGGGCACAGGGGGTGACTCTTGGGGCTGGGCCTGTGCAGAGCTGAGGGTTGGACTGGATGACCCTTGTGTGTCCCTTCCAGCTCAGGAGATTCTGGGATTCCAAGAGTTAAATTACCTGGTTTGTGGTTTTCTGTCCAAGTTGGTGGGAGAACTTTTATGTGTCTTGATGGACAACAAGAACAATTCCTTGCCAAAAGAGAATGCAAAGCTTTCCACAGAATGTGTTCAGCCAAACCCTCCTGGAGCTCTGGCAGCCTTGGGGCTGTGCCCACTGCCGTGGGGAGCCTGGGCAGTGCCCAACCAGCCTATTTTTTTCCTGAAGATTAAAAAAGAAAATCCAACAATCCTCCCTGCAGACACCCCTGGCATTGTCCCACCTGCCATCTTGCATTTCCACACTGAATTTTCAAGGCCTGGGAGGAGAGCACAGCCATCAGCAGGTGCCCTTTGGCAGCACTCAGAGCATCCTGCCTGGCCTTGAGACCAACCTGCAGACAAAGAACCTCTCTGGTGGTGCTGCAACCCTGGACAACATTCCCACTCTCAGCCCTCAGGGACTGTCAAGCTGTGGCCTCTCACTTTTCCCTTTCCAGTGGGATTCAGAGGATGCTGGTGAATAGCTGCTATTCTGAGCTCTCTCCCTTTCCACCCTCCTTTTGTGGCAGATGGGGAAAAGGTGAAAAGCCATGAACTCTTCAGTCACAGGCCTTCTGAGAGCAGCCATTTATATGCTGTTTATCCCAAATTCTCTGCTGTGAAAAAGCCACAAAGTCTGCAGAAATCTCACCTCGAGGAACAGCTGGCTCTGGGTCCAACAGGTGGGGCTTGAAATGGAGCTGGGTGGAGAGGAAACAGTTTGGAAGGACTTGTCCTTTACTGATCCAGGCATCTCCTGCTTGCAGAAATACCGTGAATCCCCAGCAGTGCCCCTGACATATCACTGACAGGAGTTTCTTCCTCAGGGGGTACGGAGGGGAAAAGGCCTTTTGGAGTGCTGGGTTCATTTGAATCAGGTGTCTCCTCCCACGTGGATTGGAGAAGTCAGAAATGCTGCATTTCTCACTGTCTGAAAGCAAAGCAGGATGAGGCAAAAAGCCACAGTTGATGCAACAGGGAGTTTGGTGGTGTCCTGCAGGTCACTCTGCAGAGGGACAGCACCCTGTGCCCATCCTCTGCTCCACTGCAGAATCACAGGGGTGGATGGGACACAGAGCCACAGAACCCCAGAGTGGGTTGGGTTGGAAGGGACCTTAAAAACCATCTCATTCCACCCCCTGCCATGGGTAGGGACATCTTCCACCAGTCCAGGGTTCTCCAAGCCTTGTCCAACCTGTCCTTGGACACTTCCAGGGATGAGGCAGCCACAGCTTCTCTGGGCAACCTGTGCCAGTGACCCCTGTAATCCCTGCTGCATCCCTGCTTTTCCCACTCTGTCCCACTGGATGTGCTGAGGCCCCCACTTGCATGGGAAGGTGTCCAACTCTGGAGCTGGATCATCTGGGGCAGCTCTCCAAGGGCAGCTCCTGTTCTGCCACATCAGGGCAGGCTCAGGTTGGATCTCAGGCAAAGGTTCTTCCCCCAGAGGCTGGTTGGGCACTGCCCAGGCTCCCCAGGGCAGTGGGCACAGCCCCAAGGCTGCCAGAGCTCCAGGACAACGCTCTGAGGGCCAGGGTGGGATTGTTGGGGTGTCTGTGCAGGGACAGGGGTTGGACTGGATGGTCCTTGTGAGTCCCTCCCAGCTCAGGATATTTTGTGATCCTTGCTCCTGTGGCTCACAGGGGGAGCAGCCCCTGTGCTGCAGCTCCAACCCTGGCCCTGTGTGAGCTGTGAGGAGCTCAGTGGCACTGTGACACTGTCCTTGTCACACAGCCAGGACAGAGCCTGGGGGTGCCACGGGGTGACACCTCTGTCTCCTCATCTTCACATCCAACATGGGGAGGCCAAATGATGGGAAATAGGGCTGCTTTTGCCTGGTTTTGCCTTTTGTTTTTGCTGGTTTTGCCTATTGATGTCCCCAGTATTCAGCTCCAACTTTTCCAGCTGCTGCTCTGAGTGTATAAATGTGTTCTGGTTTATTTGAGCAGCAGATTTGTTTTCCTTTATTGGCTTCAAACTAAATTGTGCAGCCCCTATTATGGAAGCCTCTCACCAGGCTGCTCACTCAGCCACTGGAGATCCTTCCTCAGCTCTGTATTGTTAATTTAAACTGTGTCTTGCCTCGCAGAACTCACTTTATTCCCCCCCATGTGCACACTGTTGTGATTTTTAGTTGTTATTTTCTCTACCATACAGGCATTTTCTGTGCTTGCTTAAATTGCCATGGGTTTTCCTGCCAGGGCAATGCATTGATACCTGTTCCATGGTGATGTGTGGAAAATGTTACATATTCTCCTTGAATTAACAGTCAAATTAATAATTGCCCCAGATATATCCGGTAAATCCACTCACAGCGTTGGGCACAGTGAGTTTTCCTGACCTACAGAACAACTTCCATCCACACATTTCTCATGAAGAAAGAAGAAAACACCCTCTGTCCCCACTGCCAGAAATCACACATCTCCATTTATTTTGGGAATATTATTTGGTCTTTAATCCTGTGTATCCCTCTAGGTGGTTTATTCTGTTCCACTTGGAGATGGGGGAGCTCAGCTGCACGGAGGCTGCTGAACACAAAGAATCCAGGAGATGAAGCCTTAGCTTAGTCCATCACTTTTCTCATCTGAGTGTGTTCCTGGAGACATTAAAAGTCAGCAATTTTTAACCTGGGTGTTGGGTTGTTGCTTTGGGATCCTGCTTGGAGCTCAGTGCTGGGAAGGAAAGGGATTGGTTTTTGGTCAGTGAGTGAGCTCTGGGTGTGGATCCCGGCAGAAAACTTCTCCTGGACCTTTCCTCATCTTTATTTCCCTCAAGTGAACGTCGTCTGGGCTCCTGGGGAGGAAACAGCCCCTGCAGCTCCACTGGGTGGGTTTGTTTTGGAGGATGGCTCTGAGAAGTGTTGAAGGCTCCCACAGGAGCCTTCAAACCACATCCACTGCCGGCCTTGGCTGCATCCAAACTGACAAACAAAACATGAGACAGAGAGAAGCTTTCACACCTTGTCTCCAGCCAGCCCCAACTGAGCAGGGAGCTCCACTCTTGGCTGTTCTGCACCCAAAACCACCACAGGACAGGGTTAAAGGAACCACTTTCCACCACTTCACTCCCCGTAGAACTTCAGGGAAAAAAACCCTGAATCTCTCCATGCAGTTTCCACACTTGGAAAATTGAATTAATTATGTTTGTGTGCATTCATGAAGCGTTTTGTGCTCCAAGAATAGAAGTGTTATGTCAGTGCTGTGTGTTGTCATTATTTATTATCTCGGAGCTGCTGGGATGGGACACAAAGAGCGCAGCAGGATTTCGGAAGCCGAAGGCATGTCGTGCTTCCTGATGACAATGTGAGTGATTGTGGCTTTTTGAGGAGCTGGGACATGTGGGATTTGCCCTTTGCTGAGCAGGAATCCTTCATTGTTCCTGCGGGGCAGCCCCACCAGGCAGGAGGGGTTTGTGTTGGACCGGAGGACACTGGAGGGGTTGGAGGAAATCACTGGTGTGAATTTGTGGTTTCAGCAACATTAAGGAACTGTTGACATGTTGTTGGGAGCAGCATTTCAGGGGGTAAATGCAAGAGAAAGACAGTGGGGAGATACTTGAGTTACAGAAGGGTTTCAGCTTTGAAAGTCCTGCAAAGAATCCCAGACTGGTTTGGGTTGGAAGGGACTTCAAAGCTCATCCTGTTCCATCCCCTGCCATGGGCAGGGACACCCCAGGTTGCTCCAACCTGGCCTTGGACACTTCTAGGGATGGGGCAGCCACAGCTTCTCTGGCAATTCCATCCCAGCCCCTCCCCACCCTCCCAGGGAAGAATAACTTCCCAATATCCCATCTAAACCCACTCCCTGGCAGTTTAAATCCATTAAACTGACAGTTTAACCCCAAGTCTTGCAGCTGCCTCTGGGCTGGAGCTGCTGAGGGTCTGAGACCTCCCTGTGCTGCTGGTGGGACAGAGCTGGAGCTGCCAGAGATGGGCAAGGACATGGAATGGGTTGGGGTGGAAGGGACCTTGAAGATCATCCAGTTCCACCCCCTGCCATGGGCAGGGACACCTTCCACTAGCCCAGGTTGCTCAGAGCTCCATCCAACCTGGCCTTGGACACTTCCAGGGATCCAGGGGCAGCCACAGCTTCTCTGGGCAACCTGTGCCAGGGCCTCCCCACCCTCACAGCCAGGAATTCCTTCCCAATATCCAACCTGACCTATGACCTGTTCACAGGAACAGCACTTGAAATCCAGAGGGAAATTGTGAGTGACTGAATTTTCATTTTTATCTCCCCTTCTTCCTCCTCCCCCAGTTCTTCCCCAGACAGGTCCCACCTGCAGGGTGGAGCAGCCCCGGGGCTGTCCCTGGGCTCTGTCCCCTCGTTGTCTCTCTCCAGCTGAGCAGTGCTGGGTTTGGGCTGGGCCTTGAGCAGGAGAAATCCTGGCATCTCCAAAGTTCAGGGGAACAGTCTTGTGTCAGCAGCAAAGCTCCCAAATTGTGGTTGACCTGCCCAGCAAAAGAGTCGTGGAGAAGATTTGGGGGTTTTTTTATTTAGTAATTGGAGTTAAACATTATCCAAAATCCTTGCTGAGATCCCAAGGGTCTGGCCACTGTCTCCTGTGGGGGCACCTCACTTGACCCAGTTCCAGATGGCCACAGGATTTTGCATTTTTAACTCAAAACTCTTCCAGATGAGCATAAATGATGCATCCCATGCTTTGAGGTGGATGGTTTTGTCTTAGATTTAGAGACTTAATTTGGAAGCAAGTATTTCTGTGAAGTTTTTTTTTCACAAATACTTGTGTCCCTCCACAGTGTCTTCCCTGGCACCAGCCTGGTCCTGACTCCTCTTACACCATAAACTGGCTTTAGATCTTTCAAAAGAGAAAACCTCCAGCTATGTGTCAAAAAATGCAACCCCCCACCCTGTAATTTCAGATAATTAAACACATCCTTGCATATTTGGAGGCTGCCTAATCAGTTGTTCAAAACGTGACAGTCAAATATAGACCGTGAGGAGTCTCTGAGTTCAAACCACTGTGTAGTTCTTTAAAACGAAAGGAAAAAAGGACCTGTGGCCAACTGAACTGTGGTGTCACACATCCTGGCTGACCTGCTGGTGCCTATCAAGGTATGTCTGAGCTTTCAGATATTCGAACTTTTCAAAGGAACACACATGGATCCCACCTCTTTCGTATTAATATTTCCTGAGTGCTTTTCCTTTCAAGTGTTTCTGTTTTCAGTGGGCCTTTTTCAAATTAAAAAGGCTTCCCAAGCCTTTAAACACAGCAGGTGTCCAAAGTGTGGAAAATTCTCTTTGAAGAGTCACAGTGTTAAAAAAAAAAAAAAAAAAAAAAGAGAGAAAAGGAGGTAAAGGAGGTAAAAGAGAAGAGCAGCAAACGGTGCCTGGTGTGGTGTGAGGGGCAGCTCAGGACTTTCAAAGCAGACATTGCTGATTAGACATGGGCTGGGCTGGGCTGGAGCTCCACAATATCCAGGGGAAGATGAATGTGCACCAGGGCAGACTCTGGAATATTTGTGTGATCTGGGTTAATCCAGTCGGTGTTCACGGGGTATTTGGATGGTTGTGGTGTTTGCAGCTGAGATTGGAGGGCAAAGAGCTGAGGTTTGTTTCTCCTGGGAGGGTTTGGGTGAAGGTGGAGTGCTGACAACAGGGGGAAGGAGGGAAGAAGGGGAAAAGGATCTCTATCAAATACAGGGGTGTTTTTGAAATAATTGTTCTTTTATATCCCTTGGTTGTGGTTGGTTTCAATGAAATGTAAAGAGATTTTGTGATGGAGTAAAAAGTGATTTTGTGATGGAATACAAAATGATTTTGTGATGAAATGCAGTGATTTTGTGATGAAATGCAGTGATTTTTTAATAAAATACACTTGTCAGACTCTCAGCTGACCTGACTCCTCCCTGCCCTTCCATCCCATCCCATCCCATCCCATCCCAACCCATCCCATGCCCCCTGCAGCAGTGAGGTTGCCCGGTCAGGGTTGGGCTGGTTGTTGCCAAGGCCTGTATTTGGAGATCTGTGCACTGGGACTGCAGATGAACAAGGGTCAGGAAATACTTTGCACTGTAAGTTCCCCAAATGCTCTGTCAGCCATGACTGCTCCCTGCAGGCACCCTGAGTGCCCTGGGAGTGTTCCCAGGCTCCTGCTGGGGCTGCCCAGGGCATCCCACAGTGCTGAGGGGGGAGCACAGAATCCCAGAATGTGCTGAGCTGGAAGGGACTCCAAGGCTCATGGAGTCCAACCCTCAGCCCTGCACAGGCCCAGCCCCAAGAGTCACCCCCTGTGCCCCAGAGGATCAGCCAAAGCCTCCTGGAGCTCTGGCAGCCTTGGGGCTGTGCCCACTGCCCTGGGGAGCCTGGGCAGTGCCCAACCAGCCTCTGGGGGAAGAACCTTTGCCTGAGATCCAACCTGAGCCTGCCCTGACACAGCTCCAGCCGTTCCCTGGCTGCTGTCCCTGCTCCCCCAGAGCAGAGCTCAGTCCCTGCCCCTCCTCTGCCCCTGCCCAGGAATTGGAACTGCACTGAGGTCTCCCCTCAGTCTCCTCTGCTCCAGCTGAACACACCAAGTGCCCTCAGTGTCCTCCCACACCTTCAAATCCAGGCCCTTCCCCATCTCTTTCCCCTCCTTTGGACACTCTCTAATGGCTTCAGATCTTCCTTATTTTGTGTCACCCAGAAGTGCCCCAATATTCTCCTCAGGGCTCTGAGGGCAGGTCCATGGTTTGCTGAGATGTCCCTGTAGCCCCTGAGCTGAACTGAGTGAGGGCTCTCAGGCAGAGCCTGGACTCCTTCCCAAGCTCCAGGTGAATCACAGAATCATTAGGGTTGGAAAAGCCCTCTAAGATTAGCACCACCACATTCTCCACTAAACCATGTTCTCGAGTGCCACATCCACACATTTTCTGAACCCTTCCAGGGATGGGGGCTCCACAAATCTTTGGGCTGCAGAGGTCTGAAAGGACGGGAACGGTGCGAGAGCTCACAAATCCCTGCTGGCCTCTAATTGAGGAGCTGTTATGCCCTTTTTAATCTGTGCAAAACTTTCCTGGAAACCAGCTTACATGGTTATTTGTGGTCTGTCATTATCTGATTATCACAATGCTGATTGATGGGCAGGGAAGGGGCTGAACACCTGACCCTGGAGCTGCTGCAGAGCAGAGCATTGGTAACCTGGGAGAAGGGCAGGTGTGTGTCCTTGACAGAGGACAGCAATTATTTGCCAGCAATTAAATATCCACACATTACTGAAACAGCTTTCGGGATAAATCTAGATACTTTTTTACTGTTTGCTTGGTTTATTTCTCTCTTTATTTGGTTTATTTGTCTCTATCCCCTCCTTTTTCCCCCTGCCTTATGTTGCTCGTGATAATGTAGAGCCCAACCTCTCCCTGCAGGGTTGGAGGTTGGCAGGTGTGCTGATAAATTATGGCTCTTCCAAGGTAACAAAGTTCAGGGCAGGGGCTGGAAAAGTATTGGGAGAATAGATGCAAAGCAGAAGTTTGAGGGATGATATTTCATGGAGCAGATACCTAAATATAGAATCACAGAATATCCTGAGCTGAAGGGACCCCCAAGGATCATCCATCCAACTCCTGGCCCTGCACAGACACCCAACAATCCCATCCTGTCCCTCAGAGCATTGTCCAAACCCTCCTGGAGCTCTGGCAGCCTTGGGGCTGTGCCCACTGCCCTGGGGAGCCTGGGCAGTGCCAACCAGCCTCTGGGGGAAGAACCTTTTCCTATTATCTAATTAGTAGGAAAAAAGGAAAAGAAAATAATTTTGGCTTGGTGTGAAATTATCTTTTATGAAGATCTCAGAGCATTGTAAGACATAACTCTCACATACACACGGTCCATGATACTGGGACTGCATTCACCTCCATAGGAAAAGAGACGGAGAAAAGGTGTCTCATTCCCATCTGGGTTCACAACTGGGAGGAGAATTCAGGCTTTGGATCCCAATCCCCTCCCTTCTCCATGTGTTGACATTTCTTATTCTCCATCTGCTCAGCACTGGAACACAACCAGAGGACATAAATTGTCCTTAACCCTCCCCAGATGCCTGATCAAAGGTGCAGAGACAGTGCACAGGTTAAAGGCCAAAAGGAGACCTGTGGAAAGCAGATGCAAGGCTGGAGTGTCAGAGGTCCCAGTGTGCTGGATAACAAGCTTTGTAGCCGGGATGCACAGCTGGGAGCA